AGTGTGAGTTACGCACACAATAATTTGTGCTCGCTGCTAGAAAACAGAGATCCGCTACAAGATGCCCGCGCCTGGTACATAGTTCTGTCTTCCAGCGATCCCAATTGAGGCAGGTTTGAGCGTAATAAGCCTGTCTCTTGAAGATGGAATGTTTTGTGAATATGTCAGTCAACCTCACATATTGAAGTCACCACATCTCGCGCATGTGTTCTAAGCTCCTTGATCAACCGAGAATATCTATGAAACGTACCTTCAATGGGTGTGGGGATGCACCGCAGCTCCGAAGTATGTTTCCTTTGCCACGGGCTACAGCCAAACAACCTCGACAGCTCAAATTCGGTGTCTGGAAGGGCGCAGCCTTGCAGCTCCGTGAACCGTACGCCCGAGGGGCTATACTCCGTTCCACCTTCAGTCCGAGCGCGGTGGACGCCACGAGCCATCCCAGCCGATCCAGCGCCGGGAGAAAGTCGCGTGACCTGCCGGTGGGGCGGGGCGACACAGGGAGCTCAAGGTCGCATGACACTCCCTCACGCCGCGTTGGCTGGGATGGCTCCTAGCGTCCGCTGTGCTTGGACGGAAGGTGAAACGGAGTATAGGCTTGGCGAGCGCCAAAAAATAGGGCAGATTACGCGATAAGAGCTGAGGCTACCCGTAAGTCACGAGGTCGCTGCTGCCAAACCTATCGCCCGTCTCTCACAATGGGGATTTTCTCGGCTTATCCTCTCAGAAGAAGCCGGCGCAAAAAGGGACCCTTCCCCCCGCCTCGCCGTGCTGCAAGACAGGAGAGAAAGGGAAAAAAAGAGGGCGAGGAGGACTTTCCGCCAGGCTGAAGAATATCTCTGCTGGTCCTCCTTTAACTCGATTCAGGTGCCGCGTCGTCGGCGGAAATCGCCGCATGCTTACATCAGTTCTGTGCTATATCCATTGCTTAACATGGCTAAACTCACTATCGGACCGCGGATGCTGCTCTTTCGTCAGGCTGCCGTATAGCCTCGCGATTGCACCACTTCATGCAACCCTTCCTTTTGGTTTTCGAGGCACTTATACCTTATAAAACCACAATCTTCTTTCCAATACATTTCAGCTATGTTTAAGACTTCAAGTTGTGTCGTCCTTCCTTCCCCCCTGTCTTGGGGTTTGTCTAAAATGTTAAACTTTCACCAGCCTGTTTGCGCCCTAACGTTTTTGTTCACAAATATTTCCACGGGTAGAGTTGGTATCGGCATGCCAAAACCCGAGATAGGGGCAAACAAAAGGAGAAAACACCACGTCTCAATCGCATGTACTACTGGATGGAGTTCAGTGTATAAAGGAAGCGTGGTTAATAAAATTTAGTAGCTGTGTTTGAGACTTCATGCTTTGTCCTTTTTTGCCTCCGTCTCGGGTGTCAGTATGTCCATTTACAACAAGCACGCCTGCCTAATAACGTTGTTTTCAATTGCAGTTGTTATGGCGAGGATGACTTATAGGGATATGAGCACAAAATCACAAGAAACAAGTAGAAAAATCGAGCTGTACTTGTTCTGTTTATTTATTATACTTGTCGTTCGTCGTGTGGTGCTGCTGCAATTTCTAGTTGAAGTGGAGCGAGGACCAAGTGCCGCATGCCCGATAAAAAATGGCAAAAGGTGTTTGTCGTGGCAGGCGCCGGAAGAAAGCTATACTCGACACCGTCTTAGCATAACTTGGCAAGCACCAGATGCTACAGGGTACGAGCACCGGCGAGGGGCATACACACGGCAGGAGAGAAGCCCAGTGTGGTGCTCTGCTGTCTTTCTCTTTTCGATGCTCGTACCGGCTCACACGTTAACAGTTAACGCGGGCGCCGTGTGCACCCTCAGCTCGCTGCTAGTGTGGTCAGATCTTTAGACGGAGTAATCCGGTCAGAAACCGAGGGAGAGGAGGAGACGAGAGTGTGTCAGATCGCCGAGCTCCGCTTGGAGTGATTAGCGGGTAGATGCAGAGGATTGTTGAAAAGAGCCGCCGCACAACTCAGAAGGAGCATTTTGTTTTTAGTGGTTTGTATTGTGTGTAGTCCACTGATCTCCATTGTAGTAGGCTGGATCGCGGACCGCGGCCTCGGCAGCAGGAGCCGAGTGTCGCCTCCGGCGGCCATTGATTGACACCACCAAAGAAAACAGAGTGTAAAAGGGTGCTTCGTTACACCCTTTGTCCCATATAATACACCTCAAAACTTCAATTCGACGTACAGCACCCTACAGTCGAACGGACGGCCCGAAATTCTACGAGGGGCTTGATAGCCGTGTGGTAAAACTTAGTAAAACGTACATTAGCTATTTTAATAAGTTGTACCACACGGCAATCAAGCCCCCCGTACTATTTCGGGCCGTCTGTTCGACTGTAGAGTGCTGTACGTCGAATTAAAGTTTTGGGGTGTATTACATGGGACAAAGGGTGTAACGATACACCCTTTTACACCCTTTTTTCTTGGGAGTGTGGGACTCTCTGGGGAAAGCACGAAAACGTGCCGTTTCCCCCGTTTCTAAGCTGTTATCGGCACTGAAACTTTTTGGCTGCTTTTCGATAAGTCCGTCAAATAGCTTGTGTGCAAAAATTTAAACTGACAACCCTCGCAGCTCTTATAAAGAAATATTTTGTGGTCGAGAGTGACTCCGCTGGGCGAAAAATGTAGTGCAGTGCAGCTCAATGAGGTGAGAGTTACTAGAGTTACCGCGGAGTCGGTGGCGATTTCGTTGAGTTGGGTTTAGCAGACGACAAGCTCGAAGGCTTCGCTAAGCGGAAGTCGCTCACTCCTGGAAAGCCGCTGTCGAGATGGAACTTCCTTGTCATTCATCAACTTCTGTACTTCCTCGAGGACGGTCTCATTGACGGCAAGTTCTTTTGTTTACTCCACCACGAGCGCAAGCTTGCGAGCTTAGCCGTAGGTGCTGCGGTACATTTGATTTGTTTAATCGGCGTTCGAACGTTTGACAAATACCAATTCGATCTCCAAACATCCGACATAAGGATCGCAGCACACCATAAAATACTCGCCTAGCTCCGAGCACAGCGTACATGCTTCAATATTCTTACTTTTGTGCGTTTCTCCCATAGACTTGTGTGTATTGCCTATTGCCTGGTGTCAAGCAATGGCCGCCGGTGTCAACACCGACGGGCTCTTAATCCGCGATCCAGCCTACTACAATAGAGATCACTGGTGTAGTTCCCGTCTTCCGTAAAAAAACTGCAACATTGAGAATAAATATGGAACAGAAAAGCCGTATAATTAAAAGTACTTGAGACTGAAAGCCGATTAGGAGAGGTGAACACATATTCGAATCCATGTTGCTGTAAGTCTCCATTGTTCATTTTGCCCCACCGACTCACAGTGGAATATCAGGGCTACTTGATACCATTTATCATGAATAACGTACCTAGCCTCGAATAAGAGAAACCCCTGCGAAGAAAGATGGTTTTAAGTTAACGCGTAATATTATTATTGGTACCCAGTAACATTCTCATGTCTATTTATTATCTGTTTTTCCCAAACCGAAAAACTCGTTTTGAGCGGTAACAGCTTAAGCGGTAACCGAAATACGATGATGATTACAAAATTTATACAGAAAGGTAGGGCTTTGATCTTCCCCTCTTCTTCGCTATTGGGTCACAAAGTATAAACCTGGGCCGCAAGAATAAAAACGGAAACAAACCCAATTGTGTAAGTATAACTGTAACCGTTACGCCTATAACGTAACCGTAACCGAACCGTTTTCATTATCGGTTTGAGTCCCTGATTTTAACTAATTTTGTATTATTATTGGCACTGACTGAAGCTTAAACTTGCATTTCGGACAAATCCGGGAAGACTACACCCCATTTACGTTGCTCCGATCAGTCTATTAGTGCTTGTCTCCCGGAGTACTTATACGGTCGTCACAGCAACATACCACACGATTGCCGCCTGGCTGGTTATTAGACTGACTACCCGTTGCTATGGTACACTTCAGATTTCATGTTCTCGCAGTTAATTTGTTAACTATAGAGTTTACTGAAGTTTGTTTGCTGAATTTTTAATTTTCCAAAATTGTTAGATCATTTTTTCTACTCTTTGTAATCTCCAAAGTGGCAAATAAAAGTAGGTAATATTTGGACACATCATAGCTTTACCAGGGACAGCCAACCATATGGTTGAAAATCGAAACATGGACGGTTCATTTTCGTGAACCTGGAGTAAAATGACGGATCTTGACAAACTTTGTCAGTCGCCCAATATTTGAGGTAACTGAAGCAGTTTCTCTTAGGAATTAATGACTACAATCTGGCCAAACTGCCTACTAATTGTTTTTTTTTAATTCTTTAGGTGTGTGTGTGTGTGTGATGCGGGGGGGGGGGGGGGGGGGAGGAACTGGCGTGGTGTTGGAAATTCGACTTTTTTCAGAAAAATTCAACAGTCAAGTTTCATATGTTATTTGAAAACACGCAATCCTGCCTTTATTTCATCATAGGGCGACCCAAAATATGAGGGTGCCAACTCTTAGTTTTAAAGATTACTTTCAGAGCACGAGCAAGCACGTTAAATCTCCATTTATTATTGTATTGACTTTGCGCACGGAGTCTAGATTGTGCATCCTGCTAGCTTAGGGATAAGCAAAACGACGTTCCTGCATTTCACCGCAACATGCATGGCGGTTGAATCTAGCGCTTTTTGTATCGTTATAGTGGTGTCTCGTTTAATTTTTTCATACTCTTAATTATGTTAGAAATAAACATTGTTTGACCACGGGTTGAAGAACTCTCCGAAATTAACTAAGAACAAACATAATTTAGGGTTGTAAATCTTCTATGTCCGAACCCTACGACGTCTCGCCCCTCGCTGCGTCCTGAAAACAGAAATTATAAGAACGCAAAAAAAAACAAAAAAAAAACGTATTTGTTAAAAAAAAAATTTTTTTTTTTTTTTTGCGTTGCGTTGCACGAAGTGTCGTGCCGTACTCATTCCCTGTTATTTGTGACAACATTGATCGGGCACTGCGACTCACCGAAACAGTAGGCGAAGCTCACGGCTGTCTCTGCAATGGCGTACACGGTACCGTATGACGCCACGTGTCTCGAATCCACCAACAGGGCGAGTAGGGGCATCATAGCAGCGTCGATGATTCCTAACAAAAAGGTGGCCATCATTGATACAAGAAGGAATCACAATCTCAAGTTCACCCATTTATCTCTCTAGTCAATGATGTTACTCTCTTTCTAAATCATTTAAACTTAGTTTTTTTTCTTCCTTTTTTCCTCGCTTTAGATATGTTCTTGTTAAGTACAAACCACTTGCACACTTCCGCCAGAACGACCTTTTCATTTACTCCTTCCGATAGCCCTGTCCTCAACCACAACCAGCAAGCTTTCCTTGAGGGGTCGTGATATAGACATGAGTGATGAAGGTTCCGGTCTATAAAAACTGTTTAGTATTTTTATGCATAAGAGTTTTTTTTGTTTTTTTTTTTTCAAAGTGTGGAGCAGACGAAACTTGAAGGATATCGGAGTTTCTTCGGGATCATAACAATGCCCACTTGAATTCATTATTTCCTTACATATTGTTCCGACAATGCAGACACATATAAAATAAAAAAAAAAAAATGTACCCGCTTAGCATAAACGTGTCGCATCTTTTCCATTCGCTTCATGAACGACCAAGCGCAGCTAAAACGTAGACGTGCAGCGGTAATTATGTTCTACTATCTTTTACTACCTGAACGGGAAGGGCGTTACCAGGCTTCAAGCAATTTGGACTGTTAAAAATGGCCCAGTGGTGCCATGACGTGGCCAATAGTGTGTTCGGACCCAGAAATGCGATCGGTGCTGGAGGACTGAGGAGTAAGCTTAAAAATCGCTCTTTGGCACGAAAACTGCCTGGCGCATATGTGTCCAGTGTGACTTCATGGATTTCCCGGCACAAAGAAAAATTCAGAATGTGGAGCACGTTTTTGGTCTCGTCATTCTTAAAGGGGCCCTCCGGAGCTTTCTGCGATCGTCTGTTTATGTTGTCATATTGCGTAGTAGGTGCAAGTTAATATGTATACAAAGTTTTAGATTACAAAACCGTTTATTAAGCAGATGGCAGTAGTTATTACTATATAATTCATTATTTTACTCGCATATAAATTATGGCCATCTTATATGGGGAACCACAACACATACCAATCTTCAAAAGATATTTATATTACAAAAAAAAAAAAGATATTAAGAAGCATTTCTCATGTTACGCTGGATCATCGAATGAACATAGTCTTCAATCAACTTAAAGTAATGAAAATGTTTGATTTATACAAATATCGTTTATGTTCGAAATGTATGGTAGAAAAAAATCTATCTCAACATTATCTCCAAGACTTAGCAAACCTAACAAAAAAGGTATATGCATATCCAACGCGAACTGTAGAACCATGGGAAGTACCATTTTTCAGAACTAATTACGGGAAATACACTACATCATACACCCTTCCGACTACGCTGAATCAGTTAAGTGGGGAAAATATAGAGCTTAACTATATGTCGGTGAACAGCTTACGGGAATTAATCCCACTCATCTCAATCCAAACCTAATAGAAGCTAAGTGTTGATATAGTCATCTTAAACCAGAACGCATAGAAGAAAAGTGTTAATTTTTTTAGGGGTGGAAGCTGTTTTTTGCCGCGTTTTGTCTACTAATGCTAGTCTGTTCAAACTGAATTCGCATTATATATTGACACTAATCACTTTTTCTTTCGTGCAAAGGTTCTCTTCATGTTTTCATTTATGTCCTAATCATATGTAAACAATTTGGTGCCCGCGTCTCAACTGCTGTTTAGGTGGCTCGGGACTAGTCAAGTTGTGTTACAGCTTTTTTTCCCTTTTCACCTTTCAACTGTAGACTCTTGGCAAAATAAAGACATTTATTATTATTATTATTATTATTATTATAAATATATCGGGACTATTTTCTCTTGGAAGACAATCTACCATTCCCTGCCCATCGCTAAAACTTGACCAATGGAAATGCTGCATCTCGCAGTGAATGCGAACGTTATTATTGCAACACTTTTTAAGCTTGTTGTAAATTAGAGTTCGAGAAAAACGTAAACTGATTGTGGTGCGGGAAACATAGTCCGCAATTATCGCTCCAAAACCAGCGGACTATGCTTTCTCCTGGCAAGCTTGTTGCTAGGGGGTGATGCGTCGGCGCTCGGCTCGTCTGCTTCCCGGGGCGCCTGCAGGCGTGCGTTTGCGGGACACGTGTTCCTTCTTCCCGTGGATTCCGACTCCGAAGCCAGCTTTGCGATCCTTCGACGTCAACGAGGCAAACTTTTCCTTGTAATCTGTGGAATGCGACTGCGTATTGCAGTAGCAGCGCGACGGTGCGGTGCGGCGAACGACGACGGACGAGCACAAAGTCCGGGCTCCTTGACGACGGTCCGCGCGTGTTCGAGAGATTCCTCCGCGGGTCGGCGGTCGGCCGCGTTGGTGGCGCGCAGTGACGCCGGAATCCTTCGCTTGCTATTGGCTGACGCGTAAAGAGATGCCCCTCCCGTTTTCCGGGGTCATCTCAGAAAGGGGGGCGTGCCGGGGACTTTGATAGCAATTTTAGTAGGGAAATCCGCCGCGCATGACCGTAATTTTATGATTTTTAGGATCCTTAGGGCCTGTAGATTGAGTTACCGACATAAATAGACCGTCGCAGAACGCTCCGGAGGGCCCCTTTAACATGTTTAGTTGGGAACTGGTCATCCGCATACGTTTCACAGAATAAAACTCGCCGAAATGTTCAGGAATGTGAAGGGCAAGGGCCGCACGTGTAGGTTCGGAATGGCCATTGACCTCACCAAAGCGGCAACTTACCGATGGCCAGGCCTAGCACGAAGTGAGGGACAACAAGGTACAGCATACTCGTAGCCTCGGGAATCTGCAAATCGGACAACGGAACGAATATGCCGCTGTACTTATTAACTCAAAACATTGTCCTCAAGTGTGCTTCTTAAAGGATTAAGAAGCTGATCACCACTATCTATATAAAAAATATATAAAAATATATAATTCTAACCCCATTCTTAAAGAAAAGCTCTTCCTCGTCCCACCTTACGTTTCTCCACGCATTGATCATCAGTACAAAGTCGGCATTCCTCATTCTCGAACCTCAGCCTATCACGATTCTTTCATTCCTAGGACATCACCAGAGTGGAACCACCTTCCGGCGTCATTAATATTATTACCCTCGTTAGATGTGTTTAAAAGTGCTGTTACTAATTATTTTTGCGAAAGTGACCCGTGACCTATTCCATGTCTTCTATTACTGCTTGTATGTTGTTTTTTTTTCCACTCACTCCCCTCTGTAACGCCCCCAGGGCCTTGAGGGTATGTAAATAAATAAATAAATAAATCTACGGTACCTACCTATTGCCAACAGCAATCAAGATGGTAATATATATTTACTCCGAAGAAATGCCCCTTCTACAAGGAAACGTAATATCGATCGAATAAATCTTGAAAGGAACGTACACACGACTGCCACTGTAACCGAAATTTTGAAGCGGTTGGAAGTACACCAAAAAACTAAAGTCTGTGGCGTCGTTGATGTTGAAGTCAAGGGGGCCATATTAGGAGGGAGATTTCTTTTCAAATCGTGCAAGAAAAAAACCTAATGTCTCAAACATTTTTGAAACAATATATATATGCTGAACCAATTCTTTTCTAGGACGAAACTGAAAACCGTTTTTGCCTCATATAATTTAGTTTTCGAGATTTTTTTTTTTTTTTTTTACTTCTAAATGACCAAAAACGTATTTTGTAATTGGGGCGATCGTCACAGATCCCGTAATTGGGAGCTTCTCCAGGCTCCGATACCTCCCGCACAACAAAGAAACTTTTTTACGTTGTTTCCTAAACTACATTACAGACGTAAGATGTTCCTAAAAGTGTTTTATTGTTTTTATTTATTTTTTGCAAAATATTCAGGGTTTCGACCCTTTGACGATAATCCAACCGATTTAGATGATGATAACCTTTGTTGCAATCAATTTTATGACAAACTATATATGGAATAGAGACACACCATAAATTGTATAAACAATTGTAATTTTTATATATTTTTGTTTGTTTTTGTACGAGGTTAAAAATTATATGTGGTATAGTGTTGGGCTTTTAAATTCGTACATTCCAAAACACGATATATTTGAAGTCCAATTTTAAGATGCAAATCTAGGTCTTAGCCATTTCTTTCTGCCAGATTGTTAAATATTTGTTGGAACTTACTCATTGTGTTGGGTGGCTTCAATTTAACAAATAATCGACACATTATGTATAATATTTCATACATACGTCCAGCTTGTTTACTTAAAAAAATCAAAGAAATCGCGAGTAAAAAGAAAACATTTCTTTGAAGGGGCCCTGCAGTCATATTTAAGCGCCATCCTTTTTTGCGGTTTCCACGTCTCTTGGGGTTCGGGCAAGCCAGCGGGCACGGAGAGAGTAACTGAATATCAGTGCGTCATATTTTAACCGGACGACGCGGAAGGCTCCTTTACCTACAGGTGGGACCCGCGGTGCCGAAAGCGCGCGATATCTGACGTCTTTGGTCCTAGGCTTACTACTGGTCAGAGCCGCTAAAAGCTTCTTTTTAGTCGAAATACAAAATATAAGCGGCGCGAACCGTTTAAATTATTTATAAAAGTAGTTCATGTTCTGCATTCTAGATCAGAAGAGACAAATGCAGTTTATAAATTACAGAAACAAGAAATGACCCGCCGACATACCCGCCACCACACGGTGGAAAAGGTGGCGCATACTAGAAAGGTTTAGTGGGATCAGGCACCGACGAGCGGCGAGCGGTGGAAGGTCCCGGATGTACGCGGCGGCGCTGCGGTCGTACACAGCCTCGAGGATCCGACCGGTTGCGGGCGTTCCGAAGGCCTTCGGCGAGAAGGTTTGGCTTTCGGTTTGGACGTTTGGCGGCATGGCAGCGCGAAGTGACTCCCGTTCTGAACTGGTCTTTACCCCGTGTTTGCTGTCGTTTGTGTCCAATGAAGTGTCATGCCGAATTAGTTTTTACTCGCGCAGCAAATGCTATGCGAGTCGCCCTGGCTGCCCGCTTCATACAGCCTATCCAAAACATGTTTTAATGGCGCCCTCTCGAGCCGTCTACAAGGAGTGCGGCAGCCGTGAAGGCTCGCTGAGCTCACTACCCCTCCTCTAGTTCACGGCCGCCCATCAAGCGACCTAGGTACAGTCGGGTGCAAAAGTTTGCGGGGCACGGGAGCGCGTGCCGAAATGCATCGCCGCGCCGTCGGACGGCGCGCCGCCGCATTAAGGAAACGCGCTTCGCGCATGCGCGTCTTTCGTGCTCGCAATTGTGTTTCTTTCGCTCGTTCCTTTTCGACGAACTCCTGATAACAGGAGTCGGCGCCAGGGGCGCGAGTTAGTGCTTCGCTGGGTGTCATGCTGTGCGTCTGCTTCAGCCGCCTCAGCCACCGCGCTTTGTCATGGAGGTCGCGTAGGGGGAAGGGGGGAGGGGGGGTAACCAGGCGCTCCGTTACCCAGCGCGGCTGCTGAGGCAGCTGAAGAGGACGCGAGGCATGACAGCCAGCGAAACGGCAACTTGCGCCGCTGGCGCCGGCTCCGGTTATCAGGAGTGAGTCGGACAGAAACGAGCGAAAGAGACATGACTGCCACCACGAAGGGCGCGCATGCGCAAAGCGCGGCTTTTTAATGCGGTGGAGCGCCGTTGCACGGCGCGGCGATGCATTTCGGCACGCGCTCCCGTGCCCCGCAAACTTTTGCTCCCGACTGTACTCTCATGGTAATAACCCCGGTACAGTGAGAGTACAAGAGTTGTGCTTGTCACGCACTTTGCTCTCACGGTATTCGTCTATAATTAGTTTTGTTTTGGTTTTGTTAATATAAATAGCTCGGCTGCTTTACCATTATTTCATAATTCTGACTGAGGCACAATTCCACATGGAACATATTCAAACGCGGATTTAAATTAGGCTTGTTTACTTTTCAAATTAAAATAACTACTTATGTTTACAGTATTTTTATGTAGTTTTAATTATTTTTTACGCATTAAAGACAGTAAGGCGAAGTTTCATGAAATAAACTTGTTTTGAATGTACCTGCTCGCTAGCGCCATTTGCAAGTAAAACGTTTTCGAACGCTTTACGTGACACGTGGCTAAGGCTCTCGTAATTTTGTGAACCACGCGGACGGGCGCGGACCGCGTGCCAAATGCGGCGGACAGTTTTGAGTGAGTCGGATTAATCGTTCCTACTTTAAATAAATATCAAAAATCAGTTTTGCATACTGCGGCACTAAGTTTCAACTTTCGAAGTAGGTGCAGCTTGTGATACACCATATTAGTGCAGAACAAGTCTTGCGTCTTTTTCAGCTTAGAAATACAAGTTAGAATCTTCTTATGGCAAGCCAGCAAGTGAAACTTTGCATGTCAAACGTGAAAAAAAAAAAAAAAAAGACGGTGTAGGCCATTTTCTCCGCTTAATTGAATAAAACTATTCAGAGGCGGCAGGGATGCCTGCACTTAGTTCTTGTAATCTGGCCAAAGCATTTGTGTGTTTTTATTGAAAAAAAAAAGGCTTAGCACAATGTCCGTTTTAGATAACCTTTTTTTTTTACTTTAACCTTCCGACGGAAATTTGTTTTCGCTAATGAAGCGCAGCATTAGGCTGCGATTACGCAGCAAACTATAGTACCGTAGCACATGAAACTGATTTCTGTTTATTTGAAGTTGAGAGAACTTCAGACGATTCACTGGCCTCAAGCACTCGGTCATTCTTATTCTCTGCAACGAACGCAGGTTCCGAGCTAACAGCGAAGTAAACACGCGTGTTCAACGCTGCTGCAAGGTATGCAGATGTTCCCATTTCTACCCATTGTACACATATGCGTGATCCTCTCGCGATTAAGAAACCACAAAGCGCACCACAACAAATGACCAGGAGACCACGTTCAAGTGGCCTAGGTATTCGCTTTCACGAGCCTGAAACACAATCTAAAAGTATTAAAAAAAAAAAGAAACTTAGAATTTTTCTTGTTACGAGGCCAAAACGTCAAAGGTCTTGTCTTCACCTTGTTATCATTTGTATGCCAGCAGTTTTCTTAAGCTTACAAATTATTTCCTAAACCTTAGTATCCTTTGTTGGGAGAAAACACTGCACTTCAGAGCCATGCAAAAAAAAAAAAAAAAAAAAAAAATGTGGGAGAGAGGACGTGCATACGAGAGAGAAGATTCGGACGGCAAACGAAAGCTTGGCGGATAGCGCCATGGTACGGCAGCAGCCATCGTCTGAAAGACAATTCACCGTTGGGAAACGTCTTAAAAAAAAAAAAAAAGATTGAATGTGGTTTAGAAAGGGTTATGGCGATCACACACACACTTTCGGGTTTTCAAACGTCTATAGAGGCGTTTTTTGGCATACCAACGCAGCCGACAGGGCAACCAGCACGATGCAAACAAAAGCCATTCGCCATCTGCAAAAAAAAGGAGATTGCACAAGTTTTATTTCTTTGTTTTTGGTGTCTTTGGACACATGTAGTCCTAGATGAATGCTGAAATCGCATAGTCAAAAAAAGAAACGAACCTTATCAGCTTCGTTTCACCACAAATTAAGACGTTATTCTAAGTTTTTGTCCGGCAGTTAAAACTCCAAAGTAATTGTCCAAGGAAAACGTTAGCTATCTATATACAACGGACGAAAGTTGCTCTCCTTTATAGCATATTTAGCGTTTTCTCCCAACAGAACAGAAAATAGTGTCATGATCAAGTTCTAATATTTTTTTCCGAAGTTGCCATTTTGCGCTTAGGTCTCAAGTTGAATCTCAGTGAGCCTTGCCTTCCCAGCGCCAAAGTCAAGCTTCCGAAGAATTTGGCTCCAATCAGGTATCCCAAGCTGTCCGGTATGAATACGGTCCCTGGGGAGGAAAGACGAGTGACATATTGATCCATTCGGATATTCCGCTGCCCGCTTTACTGGACGCTCCACTAAGCAAAACAAAACACACCAATAAGAATAAAAATCACGCGTGCGAACTATCGTATTTAAAATCTCGTTTAGAATATGCACTCTTTAGAAAGGCAAAGAATTTGCAAATGTCAGGGTCGTATAACGTCTTTATTAAGATAAATGGATGTCCGCTCATTGTTCCTTCTGAACGTATCTTCGCAGGTTCAATGCGAAACACTATGAAAAATGATGCTATACGTTACATCGATCCTCATTCGGCCTGTTTGCTTGCGCTTCGTACCCAATCCTATGGACAACATGAGATGGCCTACGACAGGGCGGTGAATGACCAAGCCTTGCGAGACATTCCCACTACCCATACGTGACGCGGCACGAGCATAAAAAATTAAAATAACAGTAATAATAATAATTATTATTATAATAATTAATGGAACCACAGAAATGTGGTCTTCAGCCGGCACTTTCTTGGCGGAGTAATTTTCAGCAGCCCGTAATGAGATGCTTCGTTAGCCTCCGTTTTACTCTTTACTCTCAGTTATTACTTTAGTGGTACGAAGGGGTCGGAAACTCTCAATCTGCCTCAGGCGAGTGGTACGCAAAAACATAGGGTGCAAAAAAACAAAAAAATTATGGCAAATATCTCAGTAATTGTGTTGTATACGTGGGACGGTCTAGTATCCTAGACGGTTAGCGATACTTCGAGTTTCCAGACGCGACACGCCTACGTTCAGGGCGCTCTTCAACATATAGTTTAACGTGTACGATGTGTAGACTTGATAAAATAAATAAATGTATAAATAAATACTACTGCTAATCGGGCTGATAAACCTGGCGATATTCCAGAGCCTGCCATACTCTCGAGCAACCCTCCCTCAGTGCCTACAGGTGGTCGCGTTCCTCCTTGCTTACCCCTGTGTTCACATGGTCGCCCTGCTAACCAGTCAGCGTCGAGCAGCTCACTCATCCTCTCCCACCCCTCAACCAATCAGTGTCGAGCATCGCGGCCACGCTTTTATCCATGCTTCGCTTTTGTGCACCCGAAAGTCCGAACACCTAACCAAAAAACGTCTAAACACTCAGCTTGCCATATACTTACCGGCGCTGATATAGCTTCGGCAATCTTTTGTTTCACCTCTAGCCTATGTATTGGGGAGGCGTGCGCTCTTTGAGACTTACTCAGGCATCATTTCTTTTGGGTTCCCTAACGTGAGTATTTATGCATTTCGAGACACGTTTCCACTCAAACTGCCTCTCGATTGATTCGAGGCATTACTCTTTGCTATTTTTTTCCCGAATCAACATACCCAGGGAGGAGAGTCCGAGGTAACGCAGTCTCAATAGCAATAAGGAGTGAACGCCTGTCTTATCGCATGCGAGTGCATTCATGTTATAAAGAGAGGTCGCTCTCCCTCTCGTGATTCGCTCAGCTTATTAAATCGACATCAATCGATGTGTTGAGTGCATCGCGCGGTAAAGTAGACCACATGAAGGGGTCTCTGAGAGTAAAAAAATATATTGTTTTGAGGCACGCTTCGTCATTCTGTTACTCGGAATGAGCGCGGGGTTGTAGCTCAGTGTCAGCCTAGCTCACCCAGTTGCCACTTGGATGGAGCAAGGGCGTCCATAAGCCAGATGGGTAGACATGGCTCCAAGATGGCGATGGCAGACGTAGACACTCCGATAGTGCCTGGACAGATGAGAACACCTTGTTTACGTGGACATTTATGCTCAGCTCTGTAAAATGCATATCCATCCGCGAACGCGCAACTGAGAAATTAGAAAAAATAATTATGAAAATGGAGCACGAAAGCGCGAGCTTGTACTAAACGGTGCATGTACTATAGGTTGCCTAGTGCTTCGTCCTAAAAACCCAGCGAAAACAATGGAGCGTTTTAGAGGCTCTTCATCGGCGTCTGGGCCGAGCGGTGTCCACGAATGTCAGCGAATGCCTGCTTCAACAATGAAGCGGTACGAAGGCGCCGATGGGACCAGCATTTTGATGAGGACGACTGCGGGCGCCCACACCGGAGCTGCATTTAGAAATGCGATCCAAAAATTTGATCTTAAAGGACCTAAAATACTCGCTCGAATGCGGTGGATGAAGCCTCGTTTGTGCCATACTCTCTGCAAACCTCTCACGATGGCGCTGTTGCCCTGAAGATAGTTAAATCCCCCAAATGGAAGAGAGCAGAGAGAGGCGTATGTACCTGCATTACTTTCTTTTTTTTCTCCATCTTGATAAGGCGAATATTACACAACGTCTGGCACCCTATGTATGGTGGAATACAGTCTCTATCACTGGAGTCAATATCTTTCAAATATGTCCCTGGATTTCCGCTGGGCCTGCATGCCATTTGAAGATGTAGGATCGCAGACCGCCATGCGAAGCTAATTGCCTGCCCGGAACGTAGTTCATACTTTGTGAGTGTCAATTTGCTCACAGCTGTGTACCAGAAAGTATGTCCGGAACTTGAGTGGTGGCCGGCCTTTGTGAAGATATGGATAATCAAAGAATTTGAACAATTCTAAGAACCCGTCAAAAGCGTGGCACGCGGCGTTTCATTCACGTCTTCACCACCTTCATTTTTGTGCAACAATTTATTGTATATGTTTTAGTGACTTGTGTTTTGCATTGTAATTCTTTGCTCACAAAAAAACAAAAACAAAAAAAAAAAACGGCATTGAAAACAGAAATTGGTGACCTTGCGTGTTAATCCACGGCTAGTCGGTGCACAACAGTGCAAACTCCAGCTTCCGAATTTCGGTTGTGATCTCAAACTTGGCCCGTTTCGAAATGGAATAGCATCTTACAAAATTGCGGTTGTGTATCCCTACCGCGCAATGCACGTAAACAAGCACAGGCTGGCAGCCCAACTGCACTGGCCAACGTTTTTTTTTTCTTTTACCTACAGCGTGTATGTAAAAATGTCGCATTATACCCTAAGTGCAGGCTGAACTCCCGCTTTAAAACGCATAAGGTTTAATCCGACTTCAGCACGAAGTCTAGTATGTCAATGAACCAGCAGCTGGCACTGAGGAAAAAGTCGCATTTTAGTTCGATGTTTTGGGAGCGTGAGGTTAGTCTCCAAAAGGTGTTTTTGAGACATTGTTTCACGTTCTATAGAGAAGAGAAATTGCCGGAAGAGTACACCAGCTGCTAGCCTGGGGTGTTCAGCGTGAGTAACACAGCAGGGATACAGATAAAAATGAACAGGGGTGGGGATTGAGCCCAGGATCCCTGAATTCAGTAGCGCTACCGATCCCCCTTCCAAGCTATTCTATATCAATCAAATTGAAACTATAGCTAAACTAATGAGAAACTGATATGATATCGATAGCGACCCGTATTCGTAGTTATGTCTGTAATGACGCCCATGGTTTTATAGCCGAAAAGTGTGACTCTTTCTTTGCTTACAAAAAACAACGATACCTTGAGGTTTGTGAAGAAAGGTAAAAAACGCAGGCGAGCTGGTGAATGATATTAGAGCGTTGTTCTGTCCGTTTTTTTATTTGATTTTACTGTCTCAGGGTTACTATGGATACCTTGAGGCTTATATTCTTTTAGAATAAACATTTTAGCTGGCATTTTACACTGGGCTACGCATGCTGACGTCAGTGTCACGCGCCATGTGTGCCCTTTAATGGTTGATGTCCTTCCCTTCTCTACCGCTAACAAGTGCGGCTCGATGCTGAGACCTAAAAAGGGCCAATAAAAGGCTCATCAAAGTTAAACCTTCACATATAATTAGCACAAAGGATACACGTATGAGCACGTAGCTTTGACCGGGGATCTTCTGTACGAGCTTGCACGAGGAAATGCAATTAACTCGGCTTGTTGCTTTTGATGTTAATCTCTGTTCATGTCAAGTGTAGCGACTTTGAGGCAACGTCGAACGTTCTGCAGGTCTGCAGACTCAACATGGATGTCGTAGTGATGGCCTCTGCTTTTCTCCAGCCCTCGCATTATTTTCGCTGCAGCTACGTGGAGGGGACCACGTTGCAGCTGTGCAGGCGTGGAAAACCAAAGTATGCGAAGACTTTCCGGAACCTCTGAGGTCTCAGACCAGTCCTGGTCTAGATAAGCCTCTTTCTATCGGGAACTTCAGAGAAGGCGACGTCACCCGGCTGCCATGACCTGACTTTATAAACAGGGAGCTCGCTCCCATTCAATTGTACATCCACAAATGTATGAGTGTGTGAAGCAGACACACGGGATTAAATAGGCACCGCAGAAGTCGCAAGTAGTCCACTACAAATGTTACGTGACGCGCTCGAAAGACATAGGAGGAAAATTGTATTCGGAACTTTCAGCGATGGTGGTACCGCGGTGTGAGAATCCCGCTCCCTAGCTCCTGGATGATCGGCTTCCGAATGAACGTGCTTACTTACACCTTCCCAAGGTGGAAGTGTGAGGTACGGCTCTTATGTCAATCGTATTTCACAAAATTAGAATTACTTACGCATCACGGACCCAACGTCGTACTGCTATTTGACGACGATCATCCAATTCACAGCCATTTTGATAAGAACTAGCGCGCCCCCTGTAGGCCGTGAAAGTTTCGAATCATCGCAGAATACTCTTTGCGTTGTGCTGCCGCTCCGCCCAAAAACTACTAAATACGGAAGAGTTGCGCCACAGTTTAGGTTTTTCATCTTATTTTACTTGAAATAGAAGCTTAAATATACCCATTCTAACTCCTTCCAGTAGGTAAGTATACGTTCTTTATGCAAATGTCTTAGCCTGAGAACCTATTTCTAGGATGTGTTAAAATATCGCCCAAAAACTACTAAATACGGAAAAGTTGCGCCAGAGTTTAGTTTTTTCATCTGATTTTACTGGAAATAGAAGCTTTAATATACCCATTCTAACTCCTTCGAGTAAGTAAGTATACGTTCTTTATGCAAATGTCTTAGCCTGAGAACGTATTTCTAGGATGTGTTAAAATATCGCCCAAAAACTACTAAATACGGAAGAGTTGCGCCAGAGTTTAGTTTTTTCATCTTATTTTACTTGAAATAGAAGCTTAAATATACCCATTCTAACTCCTTCGAGTAGGTAAGTATACATTCTTTATGCAAATGTCTTAGCCTGAGAACCTATTTCTAGGATGTGTTAAAATATCGCCCAAAATCTACTAAATATGAAAGAGTTGCGCCAGAGTTTAGGTTTTTCATCTTATTTTACTTGAAATAGAAGCTTAAATATACCCATTCTAACTCCTTCGAGTAAGTAAGTATACGTTCTTTATGCAAATGTCTTAGCCTGAGAACCTATTTCTAGGATGTGTTAAAATATCGCCCAAAAACTACTAAATACGGAAGAGTTGCGCCAGAGTTTAGGTTTTTCATCTTATTTTACTTGAAATAGAAGCTTAAATATACCCATTCTAACTCCTTCGAGTAAGTAAGTATACGTTCTTTATGCAAATGTCTTAACCTGAGAACCTATTTCTAGGATGTGTTAAAATATCGCCCAAAAACTACTAAATAAGGAAGAGTTGCGCCAGAGTTTAGTTTTTTCATCTTATTTTACTTGAAATAGAAGCTTAAATATACCCATTCTAACTCCTTCGAGTAGGTAAGTATACGTTCTTTATGCAAATGTCTTAGCCCGAGAACCTATTTCTAGGATGTGTTAAAATATCGCCCTAAAACTACTAAATATGAAAGAGTTGCGCCAGAGTTTAGGTTTTTCATCTTATTTTACTTGAAATAGAAGCTTAAATATACCCATTCTAACTCCTTCGAGTAAGTAAGTATACGTTCTTTATGCAAATGTCTTAGCCTGAGAACCTATTTCTAGGATGTGTTAAAATATCGCCCCAAAACTACTAAATACGGAAGAGTTGCGCCAGAGTTTAGTTTTTTCATCTTATTTTACTTGAAATAGAAGCTTAAATATACCCATTCTAACTCCTTCGAGTAGGTAAGTATACATTCTTTATGCAAATGTCTTAGCCTGAGAACCTATTTCTAGGATGTGTTAAAATATCGCCCAAAATCTACTAAATATGAAAGAGTTGCGCCAGAGTTTAGGTTTTTCATCTTATTTTACTTGAGATAGAAGCTTAAATATACCCATTCTAACTCCTTCGAGTAAGTAAGTATACGTTCTTTATGCAAATGTCTTAGCCTGAGAACCTATTTCTAGGATATGTTAAAATATCGCCCCAAAACTACTAAATACGGAAGAGTTGCGCCAGAGTTTAGTTTTTTCATCTTATTTTACTTGAAATAGAAGCTTAAATATACCCATTCTAACTCCTTCGAGTAGGTAAGTATACGTTCTTTATGCAAATGTCTTAGCCTGAGAACCTATTTCTAGGATGTGTTAAAATATCGCCCAAAAACTACTAAATATGAAAGAGTTGCGCCAGAGTTTAGGTTTTTCATCTTATTTTACTTGAGATAGAAGCTTAAATATACCCATTCTAACTCCTTCGAGTAAGTAAGTATATGTTCTTTATGCAAATGTCTTAGCCTGAGAACCTATTTCTAGGATGTGTTAAAATATCGCCCAAAAACTACAAAATATGAAAGAGATGCGCCAGAGTTTAGGTTTTTCATCTTATTTTACTTGAAATAGAAGCTTAAGTATACCCATTCTAACTCCTTCGAGTAAGTAAGTATATGTTCTTTATGCAAATGTCTTAGCCTGAGAACCTATTTCTAGGATGTGTTAAAATA